GTGACCTGTATGAAAACGTAAATTATTTATTACATGACGGAACGTCCTCTGTTTAGTAAATTAAGAGATGATTTATTTATAAAGCTTTATTGCTTTTCTATAGCCAATCTATGTATGCTTTTTTTTGAAAATGATGATTTGATTTATCTGAAAACGAAAATATATTACAAACAGTACAAATTTATTATTCGTGAAAATAATAGATTTTAGATATAATCTCGAATGAACAGATGCATCTGTGTTTGTGTCTCCTTTAAATCATTGTCTGTCTATCCTACCCTGTCACTATCACCCTGTACTACATGTGTACCTTGTGTTTGTCTCTCCTTTAAATCCTTGTCTGTCTATCCTACCCTGTCACTATCACCCTGTACTACCTTGTGTTTGTCTCTCCTTTAAATCCTTGTCTGTCTATCCTACCCTGTCACTATCACCCTGTACTACCTTGTGTTTGTCTCTCCTTTAAATCCTTGTCTGTCTATCCTACCCTGTCACTATCACCCTGTACTACCTTGTGTTTGTCTCTCCTTTAAATCCTTGTCTGTCTATCCTACCCTGTCACTATCACCCTGTACTACCTTGTGTTTGTCTCTCCTTTAAATCCTTGTCTGTCTATCCTACCCTGTCACTATCACCCTGTACTACCTTGTGTTTGTCTCTCCTTTAAATCCTTGTCTGTCTATCCTACCCTGTCACTATCACCCTGTACTACCTTGTGTTTGTCTCTCCTTTAAATCCTTGTCTGTCTATCCTACCCTGTCACTATCACCCTGTACTACCTTGTGTTTGTCTCTCCTTTAAATCCTTGTCTGTCTATCCTACCCTGTCACTATCACCCTGTACTACCTTGTGTTTGTCTCTCCTTTAAATCCTTGTCTGTCTATCCTACCCTGTCACTATCACCCTGTACTACCTTGTGTTTGTCTCTCCTTTAAATCCTTGTCTGTCTATCCTACCCTGTCACTATCACCCTGTACTACCTTGTGTTTGTCTCTCCTTTAAATCCTTGTCTGTCTATCCTACCCTGTCACTATCACCCTGTACTACCTTGTGTTTGTCTCTCCTTTAAATCCTTGTCTGTCTATCCTACCCTGTCACTATCACCCTGTACTACCTTGTGTTTGTCTCTCCTTTAAATCCTTGTCTGTCTATCCTACCCTGTCACTATCACCCTGTACTACCTTGTGTTTGTCTCTCCTTTAAATCCTTGTCTGTCTATCCTACCCTGTCACTATCACCCTGTACTACCTTGTGTTTGTCTCTCCTTTAAATCCTTGTCTGTCTATCCTACCCTGTCACTATCACCCTGTACTACCTTGTGTTTGTCTCTCCTTTAAATCCTTGTCTGTCTATCCTACCCTGTCACTATCACCCTGTACTACCTTGTGTTTGTCTCTCCTTTAAATCCTTGTCTGTCTATCCTACCCTGTCACTATCACCCTGTACTACCTTGTGTTTGTCTCTCCTTTAAATCCTTGTCTGTCTATCCTACCCTGTCACTATCACCCTGTACTACCTTGTGTTTGTCTCTCCTTTAAATCCTTGTCTGTCTATCCTACCCTGTCACTATCACCCTGTACTACCTTGTGTTTGTCTCTCCTTTAAATCCTTGTCTGTCTATCCTACCCTGTCACTATCACCCTGTACTACCTTGTGTTTGTCTCTCCTTTAAATCCTTGTCTGTCTATCCTACCCTGTCACTATCACCCTGTACTACCTTGTGTTTGTCTCTCCTTTAAATCCTTGTCTGTCTATCCTACCCTGTCACTATCACCCTGTACTACCTTGTGTTTGTCTCTCCTTTAAATCCTTGTCTGTCTATCCTACCCTGTCACTATCACCCTGTACTACCTTGTGTTTGTCTCTCCTTTAAATCCTTGTCTGTCTATCCTACCCTGTCACTATCACCCTGTACTACCTTGTGTTTGTCTCTCCTTTAAATCCTTGTCTGTCTATCCTACCCTGTCACTATCACCCTGTACTACCTTGTGTTTGTCTCTCCTTTAAATCCTTGTCTGTCTATCCTACCCTGTCACTATCACCCTGTACTACCTTGTGTTTGTCTCTCCTTTAAATCCTTGTCTGTCTATCCTACCCTGTCACTATCACCCTGTACTACCTTGTGTTTGTCTCTCCTTTAAATCCTTGTCTGTCTATCCTACCCTGTCACTATCACCCTGTACTACCTTGTGTTTGTCTCTCCTTTAAATCCTTGTCTGTCTATCCTACCCTGTCACTATCACCCTGTACTACCTTGTGTTTGTCTCTCCTTTAAATCCTTGTCTGTCTATCCTACCCTGTCACTATCACCCTGTACTACCTTGTGTTTGTCTCTCCTTTAAATCCTTGTCTGTCTATCCTACCCTGTCACTATCACCCTGTACTACCTTGTGTTTGTCTCTCCTTTAAATCCTTGTCTGTCTATCCTACCCTGTCACTATCACCCTGTACTACCTTGTGTTTGTCTCTCCTTTAAATCCTTGTCTGTCTATCCTACCCTGTCACTATCACCCTGTACTACCTTGTGTTTGTCTCTCCTTTAAATCCTTGTCTGTCTATCCTACCCTGTCACTATCACCCTGTACTACCTTGTGTTTGTCTCTCCTTTAAATCCTTGTCTGTCTATCCTACCCTGTCACTATCACCCTGTACTACCTTGTGTTTGTCTCTCCTTTAAATCCTTGTCTGTCTATCCTACCCTGTCACTATCACCCTGTACTACCTTGTGTTTGTCTCTCCTTTAAATCCTTGTCTGTCTATCCTACCCTGTCACTATCACCCTGTACTACCTTGTGTTTGTCTCTCCTTTAAATCCTTGTCTGTCTATCCTACCCTGTCACTATCACCCTGTACTACCTTGTGTTTGTCTCTCCTTTAAATCCTTGTCTGTCTATCCTACCCTGTCACTATCACCCTGTACTACCTTGTGTTTGTCTCTCCTTTAAATCCTTGTCTGTCTATCCTACCCTGTCACTATCACCCTGTACTACCTTGTGTTTGTCTCTCCTTTAAATCCTTGTCTGTCTATCCTACCCTGTCACTATCACCCTGTACTACCTTGTGTTTGTCTCTCCTTTAAATCCTTGTCTGTCTATCCTACCCTGTCACTATCACCCTGTACTACCTTGTGTTTGTCTCTCCTTTAAATCCTTGTCTGTCTATCCTACCCTGTCACTATCACCCTGTACTACCTTGTGTTTGTCTCTCCTTTAAATCCTTGTCTGTCTATCCTACCCTGTCACTATCACCCTGTACTACCTTGTGTTTGTCTCTCCTTTAAATCCTTGTCTGTCTATCCTACCCTGTCACTATCACCCTGTACTACCTTGTGTTTGTCTCTCCTTTAAATCCTTGTCTGTCTATCCTACCCTGTCACTATCACCTTGTACTACCTTGTGTTTGTCTCTTCTTTAAATCCTTGTCTGTCTATCCTACCCTGTCACTATCACCCTGTACTACCTTGTGTTTGTCTCTCCTTTAAATCATTGTCTGTCTATCCTATCCTAAAATAAACCATAAAAAATGTTTTGTTTTTCTACCTAACCGTCACAATGAGGATACTTAGAAGAAACGAGATTGTGCAACAGAGAAGGAAAATTGTTATGTGTGTTTTATGAACAGAGATGTTGAGCAGATTGTGTAGTCAGTATATACATGTATTGCTGTTAATAGCGTGGTTCTACTTTGTATGTACAGTTCACGACAAGGCTGTTAATACCAATTCAAATCTACTATCTTCTTTTATTCCATTTACGTAATAGCGCCCTGCTGTTGACCAAAAGCGTCAGGCACCTCAGAAATGGACGCGAACCGCCGCCAAACAAAGCTACTGAACACTACATATTTCACTTAAGATTTGAACAACCCGTACCATTCGCACTCTCTATCAATATCTATATATTATATCTACAAAAAAGGACACAACTTGTCAGAATATTATTATCATCATCAATAATTTCACAATAAAGACAAAAGTAAGACAAACAAACACAAACAGTCTCACAATTAAAATTTAAGAAAGATTAAGCATAAAACCTTCCAATGTTTGTATTTTTACTCCGTTAATTATTATTTCTATAGACAGACCTTGATTACCAGATAGCAATTAGTTAATAGTTAATGTAAAGCCATGTAACATTTTGAAACAATTCAAGCTTCTGTTTTAATATATTCTTTGTAAGGTGGTTTGCTTTAATCACATTTAGTGGCTGACGACCTTTCAATACAGTAGCACAGCGAAGGAGTCTGGGAATATGAAAATGTACTGAATAGTATTGTAAATCATGACTATTTTAAAGGGAATATCTAAGGACATTTGTGTACACTGTGTTTGATAGAATCTGATTTAAATGTAGAAAGCTTTAAAGTTTTAAAATTTTGAACAAAAGCTGCAGTTTCCGTCTTTTTTTCTGATGTCTGCATGCATTTCTAACCTAGATGCACAAAAACACATACAAGCAACAGAGGGAATATCGGTAATCATACCATCAGCTTCACGTTGGTATCTTATTTCTAGCATTTCACTTAATTAAACATTTATTTGCATAATTCAATAAATGTAATTGAAAGTTATCTATGTTTAAAAGGCGTCTCTTTTGAGCATATATTAAAGGCTTCTAAGAAACTGTGACAGCAATCTGAATTCAGATCTATTTGAATCTCACCTAAATGATACCCCTGCCTGCTCATGTAGTTCTCCTGTTGAGGATTATGATCACTTCTTCCTCCACTGTTCTCTGTATGCTAATCAAAGGCAAATCCTCATGAACTCTATTTCTGCTCTTAACAATACTATTCAATGAAGTACTCTGAAATGTTTTATGGATGTGAAAGACTCGATATCAATACGAATACACGCATTCTGGAGATGATTCAGAGGTTCAGTAAATATACTGGACGCTTTTACTAGATTACACTTATTTGTATATCTATTATCACATGACTTTGTTGTGTGGAATAATACCAGTACAGAAGTGTGCGGTTACTAGGTGCTGTCCCACCAGCTCCATCTGGCTGTTATTTACATAGTCTAGTTTATTTATCATCAATTTTCAAAACATAATAATGACATGCAATTATCAATAGATTTTTTTTGATATAAACATATATGTTATCATTACTACAATATGCTGTGCGTAAACTGTTTATTACTGTCAGGAGGTGGCGCTCATAGGCTTTCCCTGTTCACCAATTCAGTTGTTTCCAAGATCTGAAGAACAAATATATTTTGAAATGAAAGGCTTCCAAGAACATTTACTTTCTTCATGACAGCCGCTCATATGATCCCCATTTATCTTCAGCTTTGTCCACAAAATGTCCATCCCTGAAATTCAATATTTCGCAACAATTTAATATCTCTTTGTAATGTTTTGTTGTAGAGATGCATTGCTGACATAAAACACAACTAACAATTTATTCTCCAATGTCCAGTTCACGGTAAGATGCGGACATGCGTAAGAAAGATGTATCGTCAACAAAAACTCTAGAGATGAAATCATCAGATATGTCATTAATGTATACTAAAAATAGAAGCGATAAAACATAGAACTCTGGGGAACCCCTACTTGGATAATACCCGTATGAGAAAGAGTTATAAATACTTGCTGTTGTCTATAGGACAAGTAGTACATTGTATGTAAACCAACTCAAAATCTCACCACATATTTCATTTGATTTCCTGTCAATAATTAACCCGCTATGCCAGAAACTATCAAAAGCCTTATATATAACACAGAACAGGAATATGCATGCTTTCTTTCCTCCAAAGCTAACAAATGGTAAACTAAGAGTGGGTATAATACCAGCGTAATTAAAAATAGTTTTGAATATATCCTAAACGACTCGTTGAAACTTTCCCAGCAGTAAGTTTAAAGGCTTGCTGATGTACACCAAGTGAGAGAGATATTCTAGATCTGTATTATATATACCATTATTAATGAAAAGCACACCATGCTTGCTGTAGCTTTCTACCATCCATATCAAAGCCTCACCTAATGTACAATAATATCGGTAGACTCCGGAAAAATACTGTCACTACCTACACAAGTTAAAGTTTCTGACGTAAAAGACATAATGAAGGAGACTGAACCTGGTAAGACCGATACGAGTTAGTTCGTTTATCAGACTTTTGAGTACTCTTTCCTCAGATAAATAGTCAACAAATCAGCATCGAGGTCACAGGTGAGTAGTATATAAGGTGATATTTTCTAGAAAGTAAGAATAAACTGGTGTGAACAAAACCGCAATTGGAGTTAAAAATCGATAAAATTTCAGCAGGATATAGACAGAGTGAAGAGACGCTAAATCGTACAAAGGGATTACGACCAGGAGTTCCTCAGGTGTAAGCGTCTTCTGTAAAAAATAAGTTATGCCAGGTCCCCAAAGAGAGGACTGGGACAATGACAACGAAACCAAAAGGAACACTTATTGGAATAATCATTAGTACCGACCATCAACTTGACCAAGGATAAAGAACGTTTGCCGAGGAGATCATAAAATCTGCTATAGTTTAACAGTTGCATCTTTTAAACCATGTATAATACGTTTGTCTGTCAGTAGTCGACAAGAGTTCTGTCTATAAATCCATGCACATTGTTTCAAAAAGGCAGAATGGAATGTTTAGGTCCATGATTAGAAAATAGAATCATATACTGTTCAGCAAAATCCACTAGAATCCACGTGACCTAGTCATCTATCTGTTCAAGGTCATATGAAAGGTCATTTGACCTCCAAAGCACCATTGAAATTAACAAGTTTTCCCTCCATAACATAGGTTCGTGATAACCGTCAATATGCAGAAATTCAGAAGAAATTTGCTCGTCTATGGTAGAGTCGGTTTTCATGACCACTATATTATACAATCGTCTAGCAGTATTAACTTGATTACACATGTATTCAATTTTCCCTCCTGTATATAATACAGTTTGATAGCGCACAAAGAAATTTCAACATAGCGACAGAAATATCGAACTCAGAGGAAACACGAGCTAATCGTTGATAAATCGTCACAAATAAACCACAGCAGTAGATGGTTGTTTGCCATTAGTAGTAGTGTCCCTACTAAACCATCCATCGTGTATCTTACCCAGCTTATCTGATCACGTATCAGCTTACACAGCTATTAATATTATCATAGCCGCGCTATAGTCACTCTTATACTATTACATTTTCACTTCGCATTTTTTACCGAAAGGTAAATATAACCGATAACAATATATAAAAGGAAACGCCGTTACTTCTATCCATTGATAAAACAACTCGTGTTTAGTTTCATAAACTCTATTTATGAATTATATCTACACATAAAATCATTTATTGATAAAGTTATAATATTACCCAGTTTAGTTTTATAAACAATACGCATGTAAATAATCCAGAAAGCCAAGCATGAAATTGCCGATATGACCTTGAACCCGAACCGACATCTGTAAACTTTACAGATTATCTCCCCTTCGATTCAAATCTGGCGACGTGCTATTTAAGTGTAAATCCATTTTTAAACGCCTCTGGACAGCACGTGTTAAGTAGAGTGGCGACTGTGTTCTAGCCGAGTGTATATATCAAAATGGATTTTTAAACATAAATCTGTACAATGTCTTTACCTAGCTGATTGCCATTGCGGATGGATGGACCTTTTGTTTTACTTTAAAAGTACAAACTGTAATCCTGACGTCACGGATATACAGGGATAGAATACGTTAATAAAAAAAAAACAATGGTAGAATTTCAATGTCTCCTGTACCAACATACATTGACATTGTTGTTTCTACTTCTTTGTTTAATCTAAATAATCATTTGGCACACGTTACAACAAGATAGCACATTGAGACTGTGCTAGTGGTAGATCAAAACGACAGTTTGAAGATGTCACATATCAGAACGTCAGCCGACAGGATATTGAACATTGATATTGTACTTCCTTTTTAGGAAATAAAGGTGTCTGGATGTACTACTGTGGAACAGAGATACGGTTGCCCTGGGTAGACGTATTCATGATTGTTGTCGGTGTTGAATTTTCTTTTTTTCTATCCTTCACAGGGGGAGGTTGCAGGTGTGCATCGTAACAGCAAAGTCAATAACATGATGGCATCAGGCAACAACTAACAAACCTGTGTAAATCAGAGGAGAAGACATATGCTGATCACCATCGTTTCTAAAACATATATCATTGATGTTATTGGAAGAAAAGAATCAATCATCGTCTGCGATGAAGGAAACAGAGAAATCCAGCCCTTGAACCAGGCACGGGTGTGACAATCACAAATATCACTCTCCAGTTGAGATTTCACTGTCATACCTTCACGGTAAGGGACAATGCTATAAGTCCAATCCTAGAGGGGGACACTCAGCACATTGTATATTATATTACAATAAAGACCAAAAATCTCATCATACTATAGCTATGCGCACTTCGTGTAACACATTCAGCCAAGAAATGATAGCAAAATAATCATTATCCGCTTCAGAAGAGAGAGTCAAGAATGGACGAAGAAAGTCCACAACATCCTGTCTCCAGTTTAGGTCCGAAACCTCCATAGGCCTCATGTACAGCCACAACATATGAGTGAGATTGGCAAAACCCAGCTCTCGGGGAAGTATTCAGATAAATCAGAATATTCAGAATACAATTCTTGGTATTGAGCAATGTTACACATTAACTACACGTTTCGTCTACTATAAAGCAGTACAAGTATGTCGACAGTAAATAAAGCTTGTCGGGTTAGAACCCACAATTGGATACAGCATATTGTGGACTTTCTTATGCCCTACACGAATTAAAGGCACTGAGGTATATGCACTGAGGTATTGTAGACACTAAGGTATAGGCACTGAGGTATAGACACTAAGGTATTGTAGACACTGAGGTATTGTAGACACTGAGGTATAGACACTGAGGTATAGGCACTGAGGTTTGTAGGCACTGAGGTATTGTAGACACTGATGTATTGTAGAAACTGAGGTACTGTAGACACTGAGGTATAGACACTGAGGTATAGTCACTGAGGTATTGTAGACACTGAGGTATAGACGCTGAGGTATTGTAGACACTGAGGTATAGACACTGAGGAATGGTAGACACTGAGGTATAGACACTGAGGGATAGACACTGAGGTATAGACACTGAGGTATAGGCACTGAGGTATTGTAGCCACTGAGGTATAGACACTGAGGTATTGTAGACACTGATGTATAGACACTGAGGTATTGTAGACACTGAGGCATTGTAGACACTGAGGTATAGACACTGAGGTATATACACTGAGGTATTGTAGACACTGAGGTATAGTCACTGAGGTATTGTAGACACTGAGGTATAGACGCTGAGGTATTGTAGACACTGAGGTATTGTAGACACTGAGAAATAGACACTGAGGTATAGACACTGAGGTATTGTAGACACTGAGGAAAAGACACTGAGGTATTGTAGACACTGAGGTATTATAGACACTGAGGTATAGACACTGAGGTATAGGCACTGAGGTTTGTAGGCACTGAGGTGTTGTAGACACTGATGTATTGTAGACACTGAGGTATTGTAGACACTGCGGTATAGACACTGAGGTATAGGCACTGAGGTTTGTAGGCACTGAGGGATTGTAGACACTGATGTATTGTAGACACTGAGGTATTGTAGACACTGAGAAATAGACACTGAGGTATAGACACTGAGGTATTGTAGTCACTGAGGTATAGACACTGAGGTATAGACACTGAGGTATAGGCACTGAGGTTTGTAGGCACTGAGGTATTGTAGACACTGATGTATTGTAGACACTGAGGTACTGTAGACACTGAGGTATAGACACTGAGGTAAAGGCACTGAGGTATTGTAGACACTGAGGTATTGTAGACACTGAGGTATTGTAGACACTGAGGTAAAGACACTGATGTATTGTAGACACTGAGGTATTGTAGACACTGAGGTAAAGGCACTGAGGTATTGTAGACACTGAGGTATTGTAGACACTGAGGTATTGTAGACACTGAGGTATAGAAAATGTTAGAAAAATAATTTACTCACACCGAAGCGGCCTTTGTCAATTACAAGAAATTAAAAGAAATATGACAACAACAGTATTGGAATTATATATTGTATTTATCCAAACATGGTAGAAGTCAGTAAATATGAAATTTCGCAACCACTGCGAAATGCACAGGCATATGTCATTGTAAGTAGAATAAAACATAAATGTATTTTTACGCGCTTTTCTATTCCCTGAAAAATACTTTCTCAACTCATTTTCTGATAGTAGACTATACATGAATTACCTGTGATGAAACAAATCATCACGTCAGCAAATTAGCTGCATCTCTCAATATATATACTATAAGTAAATGTAAAACTTACTAAAAATTAAATAGTTGTTTCATTACTTCGTAGCCTGGCGGCTATTCAAGGAATATTTGCTTTGACAAATTGAAGCTGGGTAACGTTTAAATATTATGAATATGTGTGTGTGTGCAACAAAGCTAACCAGGCAGAAGATCCAGCCCAGACAGAAAACATGGCGATCCCGACTTGGAGCTGTCCTGGACGCCGGTCCCTATCCAGGACAGGCCCCAAATAAGGGGCCCCACACAGGTCTGTCTGACAACCCCCACAACCCACATAACAAACCGCATACCGCTAAATCAACAAACAACACGGGCCGGCCCCACAAAGGTGTAATGGATCCGCGACACTGTCCTGTGTCAACAGATCTACCCATGGTGAGGCTGTAACAACCGTTTTGATTGGCTGAGAGACGTCAAAACAGGTCCGCAACACAGTTACTGCGGCGCTGCTGTCAGTCATTGCGGCAAGGCGAACACGTGTTCCACATTCCGCGCGAGGACAGTCTGTGGTTGAAACGGAGGGAGAAAAAGTGGTCGGATGGTTTAATTATACAGTGGGCGATTCTGATGACGTGAGACATCATCCTGATAAATGACACACTCTAATAATGACATCATAGTCACGTGATTTATGTACAGTACTTTGTCGCTTTGTTCTATTACGTCTTTACTCATTGTCATGATAAGCTAACGTTTCTATACATTAGCTTCATCAGTAGTGTACATTTCTACGTTATATTTTCGGGTTTACAAACTAGATAATTAGGTAGAATACAATACCACGCCTTCACACACATATACCACCATATCCGCACGCACCTGCACACTTGCTTGCATATACAGAGTGCAATAATATGATAGTCGCACGCGTTCTCACTAGCTACTAGCTATCAGAGAGTGTAATACCACAAATACACGCATGCTTACACACACTTGGTACTTATGCTACCAGGTTTTTCTTTATCCTTAACATACTTGGTAACTATACCACGATATTCGTCACAATGTTTTGTTTTGTTTTGGTTATATAAGAAGAAAAGCAGCTTTGTACCCATTGATTTCGACCTGTTATATTTAAGTATATCATACTGAACATTGTAAGCAATTAAAGTAGGTTTGATTGGTTTGAACAATAAAAACAGGCAATAGATGATAACCAGACATTATGTATCGCTTAAAAATCAACAAAGTCAACAATCTGTTATCTCTCAAGAATCCATTTCCACCTAGAACTGGGTTTGTGTAATGTTTGAACATGTCTATACTACTTTAAGTCTATGTATGCTGAACAGTACCGTTAAACAAATGGCATGAGAAAACCTTTCACGAACAGGGAAGTCTTATACAAATACCTTTCACAAGATTATTTGTTGTTTTGCAGTAAAAAGACATTGAAGTTTCTGCCAAAGATGAACAAGGAATGCCATGTCTGTGCAACTGTTTCATTTTGCAACATTTTCCTGTAGATGTTTTGCAGTAGAGATGTGATAAAACAATTGTATATGATGAGGTACTACAGAGATATATACAAGCTTTACTAGTAAATTCTAGTACTAGCCATGTTTTTACCACTGCTTTCGGGTGACTGTTTCTCTAATGTCTAGCACTCTATCATACAAGTAGGATTAATAAAAGCAATATTATCCTACATGTCCATTAAGCTTAGTCTATGTAGAACACTGGAACATGAAATTGGCTCCCCTCGTTTATAGTAAAAAGTACTTCCAAATGTCTTGAAAATAATTCCCGACAGCAAACCTACTGGGCCAGTGATGTTGCAGGGACCAGAGGTGTATTTCAAGCCTTAAAATAACTTCTGTTTTTATAAAAGTTATAATCACATTACTTTTAGAATTTCTACTATCAACTAGTATCTTCAAAATACAGCGAGTTTGAGTGAAATACACTTATTATGGCCCTGCTCACTACTGCCTGCACTGCTACACTATCTGACTGGCACTCTCCTTTTTACTCCAAGTGCATATGATAATAAAACATAGACAATTTATGAATAGGATTATAAAATCATGTGTTTTAAAACCACTCAATTTTTTCATGTTTTTATATAATATAAACGTTTATTTGACAGTTGTCCTTTTACATGCCGTCCGGACTCGTATTTAGGAAACTGTTCTCATGCTCCAGTATGGATTTTGTCCTCAAACCAACATTCTTTTAACTTTCATATATCATAGGACACAAGAGCAAATTCTAAAAATATTATATGGCTTTTAGTCTCTCCAACATTCTCCAAAATCATTGACAAGATTGGATATTTTATTAATTAATAATCGGAACAAGAGATTTGGCTTGAGCGTAAAATCTGAGTTTGAGCATGATACCAGCTTGTTGAGTACAGACCCTGAAGCTTTGTTTAAGGTAGTCCATTTCCAAACTGTCTTTGAATCTTAAGTCCATAGTGGTTTTAACTGAAACTTTAAGGAATTAAGAAGATGCTTTCTCGCAGAATATAACAGACCTCACATGGTACATTTACCTACATCATTAAAACTTTTATTCATTGTACAAGTTGTGATTTCTTGTTTTACTGCTTGCCTTCCTTCTTCAATACGCTGCTAGACTCGGAACTTTTTTGGGTAACGATCCGACAGGGCTATCTGAAAAATATATAAAATATATTTTATATGTCGCTTATTTATCAAAATTACTCAACTAACCATTTTCCCGCTTAAATAAGGTTTCTGTTATTATTCCTGTTCTTTTGTTAGCCTGAACAATTCTCACTTTAAACCATTCTAACACCTTACTAATTTGTTATATCTGTTAAAGTGGGTTTTTTTCATCAAAGAATAGTCTTTGTGATGGTACACGTCTAAATGTCATGTCACAAACCTTGAAAGGCTGTCCGAATGAGGTTTGTGAGGAAATTTTCACCCAGGAAACTGTTAAACAAGTTTTGTGAGGGAATTTTTACCCAGGAGAGTGTTATTTAAGCTTTGTAGAGCTGTTGTAACCAAGGAGGTTGTGGTTGAAAGCACTTTTATCAGATGATTTAGATTTAGATCGTGAATTCCTACCCGGTCTATCTGCTGTGTAACTGACACACGATGTGGCAATGTAAACTTGACGTTTTAATTGTAGGAGCTAATATCGCCGTATAACGGTGCTTCACCTGGGAAATGTAACGATAATCTGTGTAATTAAGGGTTATCTACCCTGATCGTAACGATAATGGCGGTAATGATTGGCTGACCACTTTTCTCCTTGTTGTCAGCCCACGTGACACGGTCAGTCTGATTATGTAATCTGATGAACTGAGCTCTGGTTTGACTCTGGTTTTCATACATTTAATGAATACCATTTATTTCGCATATTGTGTTTAATAAAACATAATCAACACCCAGGTTATCTAGTACTCACCATCCATCAGAACCATTGTCATCTCACTTGAAATGAATTTAACCAGGAACATGTAAGATATTCACATATCCTTGCGATTTAATAAGGAGAACATATTCCTAACATTGAATTTAGACAATCAATGCTACCGAAAATCGAAAATTGTCAATTAAACGTCCACACTTTTACGAAATGGATCCGCATTAGTCAAATCGAAAAAGTTAATATTCGGCTATGACCACACAGTTATTACCGCAGTGTCCCCGTATGTTCCAAGGCATGATACTAATGTTTTATATTCTGTGTGTGTGTGTCCTAGTATACCCCACTGATGTTGAGAGACAGTGATTTACAAACCCTTATCTATTAGATCCAGTCCATTAACACAAAAGTACGTACGAGTAGCAAACCACAGGGGCCTTTGTTCATCACCTGACATATTTATGAAGTTCTAGCTCTTCTGTGAAAATAATTTTATGGCTCAGATTTATTTTCTAAATCTTCGATAACGGATCTGTAAATGGACGCATCGTGAGGTCCGAGGTGTATCAACCGACTAACCCTGGCGCTATCAAACGTTTATTGTTACTCTACCGTGAACCTAGGGATGCAAACGGTAGCGAGAGTATGCGACTTTATCTAAATTGTCACAAATATCCAATTAATATTGATCTACGCGGCCGGTTTTATTAAGAATATAAGCGGTCACGCTATTGTCGCTTAGGCCCTACTCGCCACGATTGCTGCTGGCCCACACCTGTTGCCGTGTACATGGCAAGTAGACATGACGTCAACAGATGTGTACCATCTGACACAGTTTACCTATATTGTACTTACCATTGTCCTAGAAAATACTATTCAATGACATAATATTATAACGGGTTAACACTGGGCACAACAAGGCGATCGAGATAGCCAATAACAACTATGTCTTTTATTTTTTTAAATATTACACACAATAACACTATTCACATGATCTCACTATCCACAGTGAAAGTAGTGGTTGTCAAGGTACCACTGGTTTAAACAGTAGTATAAGAGCAGGTAAGATTCAATTGGAGAATGTATAGCCCTCATTCCAGCAAATAAGTTTCAAAGACTTAATGTATATAACAAGCCTAGCCAAAAATAAAGTATTACATAGTTTCTAATTATTACGGGGATTCTATAAAAATCGAGGTATGCATAGCGAACACAACAAAACGTAGTGTGTTGTAGATTTTCTTAAACAGGAAAAAAGTGAAAGTATTCCAGGGGTATGCCTTAAAACTATAGCTTTTTCCAAGTCTTCAAAGCAAGTATGTTTTATTATTGTTTATTTCCGTGAGGCGATGTCAGATGCCGACTGGTGGTGGATATTCTTCTGTTTACCAAAATGTCAATTTAATGACATCACATATCACATTAAAATAATGTCACGTTTCGCGGAGGAAGAGAGAGTGAGGGAAGGTGAAACATTACGACAGACTGATAGTAGAATGCATCTGATTGGCGAAGCGCGGAAGAAGATATAAATCGATGTTATTAATTACACTACCCGAAGTTGCCTCTCCAATTTCGACGTTCTGAGGGCGGCCATTATTCTCTGCAAATATCATCATGGCATTTTCACAGAGCGTTACATATTGACAAAGCAATTAAGTAGCGCGCACACAATCACAACGAGACGTTTTTATGAGAAAATAAATGAACAACTAAGTACGTCCTGGTTGCTGTATTTGTTTTAATGGAAACAGTTTTGACTCTCCTCCTCTCATTAATATCTTGTAGTCAATCGGTGTTTCCGTCACTGCTGCTTTTAGTGTAAACCTCTGTTTTCTTTGAACGGATAAAGATAAAAGTTATAAACTTATAAGATGTACTGTTCTGTAGAATTAATTGGCATTTAAAGTAAAAGCAATGTAGAGATGTCGTGTTTTTATATAAATTATTTACCGATGTACAGCAAAGGATACTTTATATATCGATACATTAAATCTTAAGTGATTTCCCCAAAAAACGACAACATTGTAAGTTGAATGTGCCAGAATCTAACATATTCTTATAATTAATATACAATTTAAATCCCTTTCAGAAAATGTAAATGTGCATATTTCGGAAATTTTGAAAAAATATAAACGATGACATATATTTCTCCCAACAAAGCACAAACATTTATAAATATTATGATATATCTATAAGTTAACTTCGCATAATACAAAACAAAAACTATTTGGTCGCTGAAGATGTATGTAAAGGACAGTTTGTTCTTTCAGTAACCTTCCATATTTTTGATCTTATTGGAAATGCCTACATGTACCAACTATGATTAATTCACTCGAAATGTGCTTTTCATAACGCCGGAAGTGGAAATGGGACATATACTCTATCATAAGAACCGGACAGTGGTTTTGTTATCCGGATTCTTGCATTCTATTTAAGTGCTTTTTATAATATACTGGACCATTAACTTAAAATCTGACGGCTAAATTTGGACTTGTGGTATTCCATAGATGGGCGACTGCGGTGAAAACTGAGAACTAATTTTGGGTCTCCGACTCGTGCCGATGGGTCATGCTTAACGAATATGCTATACCGTAGCAGTTGGAACCGGGGTCATCTGGTGCAAAAATCATATAGGTTCTGTGCATGTATACTAGTTGTATTTAACTCAAACCAGTAGTTCGAAAATTTGAGCATTTTAAGCTACAAAATAGGCTTTCAAATTATGAAAACTCAATTCGCAATGTACAACATTAATTTAAAACTCCCTTGGATAATCTTACATACTGGGATTTCCATACTAATAACTTAATACTAATACTCAAACCTCGTCTAAATACTAACACGTTTCTAGTTACAATTACATACTAACATTGCTCTAGTTACAATTACATACTAACATTGCTCTAGTTACAATCACATACTAACATTGCTCTAGTTACAATTTCATACTAACATTGCTCTAGTTACAATTATATACTAACATTGCTCTAGTTACAATTATATACTAACATTGCTCTAGTTACAATTACATACTAACATTGCTCTAGTAATAACTAAATGATAGTACTCTATTAGTTACATCGACATATCAACACTTCCTCGTTTACACTCACAATCTACCAGTCACAATTATTTACTAATATTCCCCTAGTCACTACTAGATACTTACACTTCCCAAGTCACAACTACATACCAACAATACCCTAGCGACAGTTACATACTAGTGACGATGATACGGCTAGTATGTCAGTGAATGTCAAAAACAGAAGGTCTAAAGATATTTCTATTCGTGAATATTTGTGTCCCGAAACCGTGATATCTGTACCTTTTAATGATTAACATCTAGACTATAAAGTTGAATAATTCCGAAACAATGTGAAGAAATACCCGTAAATTGAGACTGCAAGTAAAGTGCTACGATTAAAACAATAAGATAATGTAGTCAGCAGGAAACGTTATAAATAACGGCATATTCCTTCTGTTTAAAGACAAAAAGCAGATGAGTTTAAATTGTGATTGTTCAACAACGTCCATAAGTTTTCCAAGGTTTGTGAAACAAAATCGAAAACTTATTGAAATTATTTTGATGTTAAGATAGCTGGTGATAAAAGCGTATTGCAAAAAATTGTCAACAAAGAGCTAAGGTGTCACTTCATCAGATATTTCCGATTTTTATCAAATATCCTTGACTTGTTATAATTATTTAGCAATTATAACTTAGCGCCATATCATGTGACAACCGATCCAAAGAAAACATTTTCTTTGTAATTCCTTCTGACACTTGCGACCATTTACATGTTCAGTCCTGTTCTAATGTTAAGATAAATTAAAAACCAAATAACGAGAAAAACAAATTCCACAATGAATGACAGCAAGTTTTTAACAAAGTGTTTGGTGTGTGTACTTTTAACAGTATGCCTAAGTGTGTAGACGGACTAGATAATGCATGTATCACTGAGAGAAAAAATAATGTTAGCTCAGTCTGTCTAGGTTAATTTAATCTAGAGAGGAATAATGAAACTTACTCCATTATTAATACATAACCGCATTAGAGCATATCATCGGGAGAGAAACTAATTATTCACCTGTTTTAATTAATAGTTAGTTTCTTAGCAGCATTGCCGCCAAAAGACATAATTAAAGATGCTTTCAATTTAGCAGTGACATAAAAAGAAATGAAGAACATCCTTGGACAGTCGTCAGTCCAATGAGTTGGCTGACCTGTTATATTGTATCATCTGTTCTAAAGACCAATATATACTACTATTGATAA